TTAAGGGTTATGGGCAAGTTTGTTAGCAGTTAGTCAAAGATGGACTTTATTTAGTTCAGTATTCACTGTATCATTTAAAGAGGGTTATGACTGGAGAAAATTAAGGTTGTGTCATCAGCAAATAAAATTGGGTTGAGGTGTTCAGAGGCATTTGGAAGGTCATTAATGTAGATGAGAAAGAGGAGAGGGCCAAGTAAGCTGCCCTGTGAAACACCAATGTTGATGGGTAGGGTGGGAAAAATGGAATAATTTGCAGAATTATACTGGAACCTGTCACTAAGGTTAAACTGAAGGTATTGGAGGGAGTGACCTATGGCTCCATAATGATGTAATTTAAGAAGGTTTTAGTGGTTGACAGTGTCAAAAGCCCTACATAGGTCAACAAATAACCCAAAAGGGAACTTATTTTTATTAAGAGCTGCATGTATCAAGTTAATCATACTAATCAGTGCATCATTAGTGCTTATTTTAGGTCTGAAGCCATACTGACAAGAGCTAAGTAAATTCTGCTTAGTTAGATAGGAGTAAAGCTGCTTGTAGATTATCTTTTTAAATATTTTTGACAAGTTTGGCAGAATTGATATAGGTCTGAAATTATTATAGCATAACATTAATTATAAGCATAACTGTAATTATTATGCTAACTCCAGTAATTATAGCATAACTAATAAGATTAGGCTAGAGAAATAAATTTCTGACTTGAAAAGTTATAAATGCCAGTCTGTCTACTATAAACTCTTGAATGACATATTTCTAATCTACAGTAGAGCTTATCAATAGGTCTACGAAATTTTTGTTTTCTTCAGTTTGCATGAGAATTTCATGAGCTAATTCCTTGATATTGTAGAGGTGACCCACGTGTTACAACAATAGTACAGTAATTCACCTGGAACTGTCGTCGTAGGGAGAGGAAGGGCTGGTAGGGTAGGTGGAGCAAGTCTAGGCTCCTCAGGAAGGGTAGGACAGAGGGAATCAATGCCTCTTAGGGGTCCTATGGGCACATATCCTAAGTGCCAGTGGTGCCGGGCAGGCGTCGTCCGCGTTGGGTCACATGCAGTTCAAATCTGGCCCACTCGGCCTGCGCGGGCTGCCGCGCGGGTAGGCCGTGCGCCGTCGTCGTCCACCAATCAGGGCACAGCCCTGCCTATACTGTAAAATGTCTCCTTGGCGGGCACTTTGAATGTGGTTCCCTCTACACTCCTCCCGTCCCTATAGAACAATGGGTATGTTGGAGGGAAAACGTTTCACTATATACAACATGTCTTTTTTGTAAAAAAGTCTGGTTTCATGAATGGGTCCTATTACAATTATTACCCGTATTATCTTTGCACTATACACGAACTGTTTCAACATTGCATACACTACACTATTCCCTTTCCTTTTTTTTTTTTTTCTTTTCAGCTTCACTCTTAGGAATTTACTCTGTCCTAACAATATTCCTCGCACCGAAGCGCTGCTCCTTGAATGTGAGTCCTTTGACAGAGCAACCCTCTTCCCACATCTCACCCCCAGGATCCCAAGGGAAAGCAATTGGATCTATGCCTTCCAAGAACTGACCAAATGCTAGTTCATTCTTTATTTTCTTCTGAGCCCTCCTTTCCACATTGTGTCTTAACGGGCCCCACTTCCTGTGAGAATTTTGCTTTGCTTCCTGATCCAGACCTGTTTGTTCAGTAGTGGCATGGTCCCGAATTGCCACTTTTGTCCTGCATTGGATTCCTGAAGGAGCCTCACTTGACGAGTTCTCACTTAGCATAACCAAACTCTGTTGGTTGTATGTGTCTGATGTGCTAATGTCCATGTCCCCCCTGTCAGTGTGAGCCGAGATGTCTTCCACACCTCTAGACAATATCTGGTCAGCATCTTGCTCCGATGCCCCTCCTTGGCCTGTTATGCACTGGGTCGGAATTAGACCGAATGAGCCGACCCGGCAGCGTTTAAAGACGAATTCTGGTCCTTAAATGAAACATGTGGCTTGTTGCCCGAGGTGTCCCCGTGCTGGCGGACTGCTTCCTCATCCCTTTCGGATTCCTCACAGTCCCGAGCAAAATGACCCTCTTTCCCACACCTGTAGCACTGAACAGGTCGCCTAGGGGATGGGCTACGGCGATGCTGTGGTGACATAAGAGCAACTGTAAGGTGCCTCAAACTCTCACACACCTGGTCCAATCTCCCGTTGGTCTCTGAGATGCCTGCTACCAAGGTGTCCAACTTCGCCTCCACGCCCCTGGAAGATAAAGGATGCGAGCCCGCACTCGATGGTCGGCAACTGTTGATTCCAAAACCTGAAGAGCTGGTAGCCGGTGACGTGCCTGGGGAGCTGGGGAGGGCGAGTGTCGAGCGCCGAGAAGCGTCATTACTCCTGGGTGGCCGCTCATACTGGGAGTACCTTCCCACTGCATTCACTCGCACTGCTGGACCTTGGGGCACTCGGTGATGGGAGTCGTATCCTTTGGAACCTGAGGAACCGTGGATCGCTATGGCATTGTGCTGGAAGGTTTGGGCCCGATCGATAGCCTCCTCCATGGAGGAGTTCCTTGCATTGGAAATGTATCCTGCCAGACTCTTATCCTGTAATCCCTGGCCAAATCTCATTACTGCGATTTGTTCCACTTCCCACCGTGGCAAATGTTTGTAAGCCCGATGAGCCAAGTGGTGGGCCCTATCTGCCCAATCAGCAATATCCTCTTCTGGTTCCTGCTGGGCCTGGTTAAACTTCATCATAGCTACATCCAGAACTTCCCTATCGCCAAATCGCTTGATCATCTTATGCATCATGCGAATATAATCGATCGACGGTTCTCTGTCCAGTAAGCGATTGTAAAAATCACTTGCCTTACCCTTGAGACACCATCCTAACTGTGTCAATGACGTAGGCCCGCTCCAGTCCTTTTCCGAGGCATAAGACGTGAAGCGGCGGTAGAAGGTGGCCCAATCTGACTTCCCGTCATAGTCCAACGCCCGAGGTGGTGTGCGGAAGGTCTCTTTCTGTTGGCGATAACCTGTCCGCCTGCTGCGGGATAGAGAGGCATCCGAATCGGAAGTCAGAGAGCTGTGTGACGAGTGTCGAGCTGTCCGTCTCCTTGATCGAGCCGATCGATGGTGGGAGGGGCTCCCCTGCCGAGTACCTTGCTGGCCACTAGCCCTGGAGTAAGCTGGTGACTGAGGTCGACGTCCACGTTGGCTGCTGCTGGTGGCACCCCTAGAGGAGTGGCGGGTTCCCGTTTCGCTGGATGAGGACGATGAACGACTTCCTGCCCCCTGACCTAAGGGCCCGGAGCCCTGTTGGGACGGGTCCACCTCAAACGATATAGCAGCCATCAACTCGGGTTTGGTCCGAAGGCGGTTGATATCATAAATGTTGTCCTCCGTGATCACATGGTGACGCCGAAACTTGATAATGCGAGCGGCCAATTTATCTCCTACACCCGGTAGCAGCTGCAGCTCAGCAGCCGAAGCAGAGTTTATCTTGATTAGAGCCATTGTGCCGGTGTCGAAAGTTAAAGCTCCGATATCGTGCCACACCTGGTAATAAGCCTTAGACCTGGGGCCACGCGCCTCACATGTATACCACCCCAAACAGAAAAACAAAACAAAAAAACACAGACACCAATAGCCACACTTAAGGTTCCAATGTTCAGAGATAGAGATAAATGTTCCACAAGGAAAAATAAGCACTGCAGTCAATATTGTAAATGATGGGGCCAGGTGGGTTTCAAGCAACATAAAACACTGCACACTTAATTGGTACCTAAATCACTGGAGGCTTAGACAAAAACTGGGCACTTACTGCACTTGCAAAGCTGGAAAATCTGATATGGCAGGCACTTTGAGGAACTTTGAGAGAGGCACTTTGAGGAACTTTGACAAGCAATGTGCCTGATTTTCATAAGCACTGGGCTGAGGGTTCTCAAAAACACTTTTTTCAGGTGAACGTGTGGAACTGTGTGCAGGGCGGATCACCATCCACCTTAAATCTGGTATGAACACAAACTCACTGGCTCACTTAATGTATCTCTTTCCCTTGAGCCGTTACTTCTGTAGAAAGCCCAGAACAGGTTACGTCTAGCTAACAGTAGAAATGAGAAAATAACAGACCTGTAGCAAGCACCCTGCAGAGCTGGGACCAGCGTCGCTGTAGTAAACACGCTGGAGACGGATGCGCTCGGGAACGACAGCCTGAAATCCTCCGCGAGCGGATTCGTAAACAATACAGGTCGGGTATGCTTATGAACGGTGGCCCGTATTCCGTGTGAATGGTGGTACTCGTCTCCCCTTCTTCAAAGAACTTGGGGACCGCGGGAATCGGTGCTTGGGGGACAAGACAATAAAATGCAACAAATCCGGAGAAATAATCCGTATAAAACACTGATAACTGGAACTTCTGGAGAATCTTGGGGGATTGCACGAGATGTGGAATAAAACATATGCACAAAAAAACAGGGGTTGAAATATCTTGGGCACCGCTATTGAACAACGAACCGAAGAACATCTATGGTGCAACCAAAGCCAGTAATTCGAGACTGGAACCGTTGAACACTATCCAAGACGTCTTGACTGAAGTCGGCAGAACGATGATGCAGATATCTTGGCGAGGTCCTCTTGATCACCGCGTGGGAACGTTTACTCACTGCGCCAATGTAGAGGTGACCCACGTGTTACAACAATAGTACAGTAATTCACCTGGAACTGTCGTCGTAGGGAGAGGAAGGGCTGGTAGGGTAGGTGGAGCAAGTCTAGGCTCCTCAGGAAGGGTAGGACAGAGGGAATCAATGCCTCTTAGGGGTCCTATGGGCACATATCCTAAGTGCCAGTGGTGCCGGGCAGGCGTCGTCCGCGTTGGGTCACATGCAGTTCAAATCTGGCCCACTCGGCCTGCGCGGGCTGCCGCGCGGGTAGGCCGTGCGCCGTCGTCGTCCACCAATCAGGGCACAGCCCTGCCTATACTGTAAAATGTCTCCTTGGCGGGCACTTTGAATGTGGTTCCCTCTACAATATACATACATTTCTCCTAACAATAAAATGGCCTCGTCTTAAGAACGTCTCAGACTGACTGCTTCAACAGCTCCATTGCTAAATAATATTACAAAAAAAAATCCATAACTTGACTACAGAGATTATATTACATTTTAAATAAAATTCCACAAAGAACTATTTAGTTCTAGATGCAGATGCAGATGCAGATGCAGATGCAGATGCAGATGCAGATGCAGATGCAGATGCATTTCTAATTTAAATTTAATAAAGTTCTAATAAATTTAAATTCCACATAACTATTTAGATGTATATGAAGAAAAATGCATTCAAAGCTTTGTTTTATCTTTGGTAAAATAAAGAGATATTTCTATACTTGTAAACAATTTTAAGTTTTTCTACAGTGACAGCTTCTTTAGTTCTTGCTTGGTCTATGAGGAGCATCTAATTTGAAAACTGACAATTTCTCCAGTTCCTGCTGGTTTATGAGGAGATTCTAACTTCTTAAATGACAGCCTCTCTTGTTCTTGCTTGTTCTATGAGGAGTATCTAATTTCTAAAATGACAGCTTCTCTAGTACTTGCTTGGTCTATGAAGAGCATCTTTCATAAAAGAACAAAATAACAAAATACCTTCAGAACTTTACCGTTTATGAAGTGAATTCATCAAACGAAATATAACAATTACCTCTGAAGGATATCCATCTGACATGGTGATAGCAAAATATTTACATAATGAAGCTAAATTTCCAAACTATACATTAGATTAAAGGTAAGTTAGTGTATTAATATGTGGCTCATTATACTTCAACATTCTTTCAATTATCTCCCACACCCAAAGTTTTTAGCTTATTACCTGAATGTGTAATCATATGCTTCTTCATACTTCCACGTTGACTGAATTTCTTCCCACACTTTGGACACTCATGAGGTTTGTCACCTGAATTGGTGAAGTAAATTTATTAAACAAAATATAACAATTATCTTTGAAGGACATCCAACTGACATGGTGATAGCAAAATATTTTCATGATGAAGCTAAATTTCCAAACTATATATTAGATTAAAGGTAATTATTAGATTAAAGGTAATTTATTATTATGTGGCTCATTATACTTCAACATTCTCTCAATCTCCCACACCCAAAGTGTTTAGCTTATTACCTGAATGTATCATCATATGCCTCTTCATACTTCCACGCTGGCTGAATCTCTTCCCACACTTTGGACATTCATAAGGTTTGTCACCTGAATGCACAAACATGTGATGAATTAGATTTCCACGTTCTCTAAATTTGTTGCCACACTCAGCACATTCAAAAGGTTTTTCTTCCGAATGCAGCATCCTGTGAGTCTTCATATTTTCAAGACGACTGAATTTCTTCCCACACTCTGGACACTCATGAGATTTCTCACCTGAATGTACTAACAAGTGTCTCTTCATACCTCCGCACTGACTGAATCTCTTCCCACATTCTGGACACTCATAAGGTTTGTCACCTGAATGCACAACCATGTGACATATTATAGTTCTACGTTCTCTAAATTTTTTGCCACACTCTGCACATTCAAAAGGCTTTTCATCTGTATGCACCATCCTATGAGACTTCATATTTCGTAAACGACTGAATCTCTTCCCACACTCAGGACATTCATGAGGTTTGTCACCCACATGTACTAACATGTGAGTCTTCATATGTCCAGGATGACTGAATCTCTTCCCACACTTAGGACACTCATAAGAGTTGTCACCAGAATGCACAAACATGTGACGTATTAGAGTTCCACGGTCTCTAAATTTTTTGCCACACTCAGCACATTCAAAAGGTCTTTCATCTGCATGCACCTTCCTGTGAGTCGTCATATGTCCAAAACGACTGAATCTCTTCCCACACTCTGGACATTCATGAAGTTTGTCACCTGAATGTACTAACATGTGAGTCTTCAAATTTCCAAGCTGACTGAATCTCTTCCCACACTCTGGACACTCGTGAGGTTTATCACTCGAATGTACCAACATGTGTCTCTTCATATTTCCAGGACGACTGAATCTCTTCCCACAATCTGGACATTCATAAGAGTTGCCCCCTGAGTGCACAAACATGTGACGTATTATAGTTACACGGTCTCTAAATTTTTTGCCACACTCAGCACATGCAAAAGGTCCTTCATCTGCATGCACCATCCTGTGAGTCGTCATATTTCCAAGAAGACTGAATCTCTTCCCACACTCTGGACACTCATGAAGTTTTTCACCGGAATGTACTAACATGTGAGTCTTCACATGTCCAAGCTCACTGAATTTCTTCCCACACTCTGGACACTCATGGGGTTTGACACCTGAATGTACTAAAATGTGCTTCCTCATATTTCCAAGACGAGTGAATACCTTCCCACACTGTGGACACTGGTGAGTCTTCATCGTCTTTATGATAGGTACAGTGTGTGTAAAGGTTTTCTCCCCGAAAGACCGCCCGAGTGGTGATGTTGGGAGACGCGTCAAGTTTTGAGTGTTGTGTCTTAGAGTTAGACTTGATGGGAGCACTTGGCGGTCAATTATGGTGCTTCTTCTTTATGAGTGGTGCAGTTTGTGTCAAGGTTTTATGCTCTTGTTTGGACACTCACCAGTTGGTGATGACAAAATGGCGCCTGATGCTCATAGGAGCGTTCCAATATTTTTTCTAATTCCAAATCTTTATTTTTTTTTACTTCTTATTTTTGCTTATAAGTTTCTTTACGCGTTTTACGTTTATCAGTTATATTTTTGCTCATCTTTTCCAGTTAAGGAATGTACTTGTAATGATTTTTTTTTAACATAATATCATACGATTATATACTTTTTGAAGGAATTAGTTCTCTCCTGGTGGATGGGATACAAGTTAAATCGAATACGAGACGATTTTTTTTTGCCTATTTGCCTTGATCCTTGCACTGAAATGTGTACAAGTCTCCAAACTTGATACATTAATTGTAAGTGACTCCTTATCATCCTTAAATGCTCTCAACTCATTAAGACATAACTGTAACATGCTCGTGTCCGAAGCTAGACACAAATACAACAAAATTATTAAGGATGGTAACAAGAGTCCATTTCATGTGGTCTCCATCTCATGTTGGCCTCCGAATGCGGGTGGAGCCACACATCTATGGATCATCCAATAAAATCAGCAGACTTCTAGATGTTACTACTGCTCGGCTTAGACTCGGTTACAAGTATCTCTGGGATTCTCATTATCTGCTGATGTAGACCCGACCAAATGTAAACTGTGTCAACAAAATTATTCGCACACCCTCTGTCACTATGTGATGGAGTGCGAAAAGATACGTGAATTTAGAGACAATTCTATAACCAATGTTCCAGCGATTTCCAGTTCCAGTTGCAGCAAATTTTTGAGAGAGTGCTAAGAAGTAAGATCACAAAATACATGGAATCACAGCATCTCCATAACCCCGGACAACACGGTTTCAGAACAGGGCGCTCTTGCCTTTCGCAGTTGCTGGACCACTATGATATGGCATTAGATGCTATGGAAGACAAACAAAACGCTGATGTAATTTACACAGATTTCGCAAAAGCTTTTGATAAATGTGATCATGGCGTTATTGCACATAAAATGCGTTCAAAAGGAATTACCGGAAAAAAAGGCAGATGGATCTACAATTTCCTGACCAACAGAACCCAATGTGTCAACATTGGGTTCAACAAAATAAAACCCAGCCCAGCAACCGTGAAGAGCTCAGTTCCCCAGGGTACTGTGCTTGCTCCAGTACTTTTTCTCATCCTCATATCGGACATAGACAAGAACACAACTTATAGCACTGTTTTCTGAGGTTGGAAGAAAACGTGCTCAGATTGGGGACTTGTTTATTTTATAATGGTAAATAATAAATTAATATATAATAAATTAATAAATAATAAATTAATTATTATTATATAATAAATAATAATAAATAGTATAATGATAAGCAATTATTTTTAATGAATCGAATAGCTAATTAGGATGAATAATAATAATAATAATAATAATCTTTATTTAGGTAAGGTACATACATAAAGAGATTTACAAAGTTTGTTGGCTTTATAGATAGAGCTAGTACATACAATGCCTAAAGCCACTATTACGCAAAGCGTTTCGGGCAGGAAAAACATTAATGACTACAGCTTAAAACTAATGGGTAAAAAGAAAAGATGTGATGAGTACATATAAAAAATAGAGGTAAAAGAGGGGGGAACATTGTTGAAAAAGCAGCACAAATACAATTACAAATTATTACAGAAAATTACATTCAAACAGCGTTGATTTGAAAAACAAAAAAACAAAAAATATACATGGGTTGACAACAGGGGGGTAAGGTGGGTTACATGGAATTTATTAGGTATAGCTTCGTTTTTAACTTAAACTGGTTGAGAGAGGTACAGTCTTTAACATGGTTGGGAAGGTCATTCCACATTCTGGGCCCCTTGATTTGTAGAGCATTAATTCTGGTTTGATTTAGTCGTACTCTAGGAATATCAAAACTGTATTTATTTCTGGTGTGGTGCTCATGGGTTCTGTTACAACCTTCTATGAAGCTTTTGAGATCAGGATTGGCATTATAGTTTAGCGTTTTATATATGTATAATACACATGAGAGAATGTGCAGTGACTTAATGTCTAACATATTCAGAGATTTGAGTAGGGGTACCGAGTGATGTCTGGGGCCAGAATTGGATATTGTCCTAATAGCAGCTTTGTGTTGAGTAACTAGAGGACGTAAGTGATTTTGGGTAGTAGAGCCCCAAGCACAAATACCATAGTTGAGATATGGATAGATAAGGGAGTAATAGAGAGTCACCAGGGCAGGGCGTGGTACATAATATCTGATCTTAGAAAGAATGCCCACAGTTTTTGAAACTTTTTTTGATATGTTTAGAATGTGTCCCTGGAAATTCAGCTTGTGGTCAATGAGAATGCCAAGGAATTTGCCATCTAATTTGTTACAAATTTGGGTATTGTTTATTTTGAGATTTATTTGATTAGAGGATTTATTGCCAAACAGAATATAGAAAGTTTTGTCAATGTTAAGGGTGAGTTTGTTGGCAGTTAGCCACAGATGGACTTTATTAAGCTCAGTATTTACTGTGGCATTTAGAGCAAGGGGATCAGGACTGGAGTAAATGAAGGTTGTGTCATCAGCAAATAGAATTGGTTTGAGGTGTTGGGAGGCATTTGGAAGGTCATTAATGTAGATGAGAAAGAGGAGAGGGCCAAGTATGCTGCCCTGGGGAACACCAATGTTGATGGGTAGTGTGGGAGAAATTGTATTATTCACAGAAACACATTGGAGCCTGTCAGCTAAATAGCCTGAATGATAAATAATTATTGACTAGTGCATAACAATAAAGTATTAAGGAATAATTATAATGAATAATCCTTAATGATAAAGTAGAAATCAATTACAATTAATAACTACATCCATAGGTAGTAAATGAAAGTTGCATTAATTTAATTACACTAATTACAATTCATGGGAATATTTCTTAGTTATCTGCAGGCTTATCACTTTGGGGGTTCCGGCGGAGCACCCCCAATCCCGCGAGGGCCAGCGGCGCGGAACCCCCAACCCCGAAGGGTAAACGCGGCGGCTGGCCGCTGTAACTAGGAATGTGTGTCGACCTCATGGGTGCAGTAGTCTGCCCTCTGGCTCCATCCCTTTTCCTTGTTCATCAATGGTGTACCTTGTGCGCCTTCCGTAGTCAGTTCTGGAAGTATTAAGCTGGCGGCCTCCAAAGGATTCCTGATCAACCAGGCTGTGACTCATACGTCAGGCTGCGAACAGCCGCGTCCAACAGCCTGGTCGATCAGTCCGGCCACCAGGAGGCTTGGTCGACGACCGGGCCGCGGGGATGCTAAGCCCCGGAAGCACCTCAAGGTAGGCCCTTGGTGGGGGCTCCACGAGGCCAGGTTGCAGTGGTCCTATGTTCTTGGGCCCGACCTTTGGGGCCCATGCCTGGTCGGTGTCGCCCTCGTGCCTTGGCGCTCAGAGGAGCGCTTGCCCTGGGTTGTGTCTCGCTTCCTTCCTGTCCCTCTTGGGTGCTAAGGCCACGAAGGATTGAAGGCCACGCGGATTAGCAGCGTGGCCTTCCCCGGGGCAGGGGTCTGTCTGCATTCATGTCGTACCCGGGCGTGCCCGCTTGTGGGGGCCTACCTCACGCCCACGGGCTGGAGACGCCCACGCCTGGCGGCGGTGTCCCGGTCGGCAGGCCCTGAGGCTTCTTTGCCTAGGGGCTGCCTCGACGTCAGGTTGGGCTTAGCCGAGTGCCTCCCCGTCCCCTGCTGTTTTGCTCCTGTGCTCAATATACTTATCTTGAACAAGACACAGAAATAAGGAAACGAAGAGGAAGGATAGGAGGGAGTTCCTTTCACCACAGCCAGCAACCAGAGAAGACCGCTTCAGTCCAGATCAGCCTCCAGCCAGCTGGCTCGTTGCCGGCAGACTGCTCAACTAATCATACCGTGGCCCTATACCAAGTTTACTCAGGTTTACTTTACAAATGATTAGAGTATTATTAAACATAGTTGGAGCCTATGTTATTATTTAATAATCAACCCCCAGCTCAGTCTTTAAATGCTCTTTGAGAAACAAGAATAGTCTTACGTCTGGCAGGGAAGATACAAACAATGACGCATAGGGTTGCGTTCAGCTATACTATAGGAAAGTTTAATAACTCAATTATGACCTCTGGTGTCCACTGAAGAACCCAGGGTCGTAACACTCCTCCCCCCTTCAGAGAAAAAAAAATGTGACTACTAGAATAGTAGTCATTTTTTTTGTAAGAGTATACAGAGAATAAAAAGAAAAAAAATATATGACAAAAAAAAATCAATCAAAAACAACAATTTCTCTGCAAGAAAAATACAAAGGAATTCTCTGAAAGAAAAAAAAAAAAAACACACACAAAAACAGGGAAGTAAATAAATTGGACACGGAATATTTAATGTCACAGTGTAACACTGTAAATAATAATAATAATAATAATAATAATCTTTATTTAGGTAAGGTACATACATAAAGAGATTTACAAAGTTTGTTGGCTTTATAGATAGAGCTAGTACATACAATGCCTAAAGCCACTATTACGCAAAGCGTTTCGGGCAGGAAAAACATTAATGACTACAGCTTAAAACTAATGGGTAAAAAGAAAAGATGTGATGAGTACATATAAAAAATAGAGGTAAAAGAGGGGGGAACATTGTTGAAAAAGCAGCACAAATACAATTAAAGTGTTTGGCTTAGTTGATTTAAAATATATATATAGTACATGAGTCACAGACAGGGATTTGAGAAAGGCGCCAGGTTGTCGGCCTGAGATCTCACACCTCAAAGCGTTAATGACCTCAAGTGACCTGAGGTCAGATCATGAGAATTTCACCTTACTTCTACTAATCTCTTAATTGGAGCCTGGTAGCCTTCAAACATGCCGATGTTTAAGGAGTGGCTTGGTAGAGAGCCGGAGGCTATCTACTTGTGGGCGGAGTTAGCTACTAGGTTCCCCAATAAATACTCGGAGAACTGCCAATTCGAGAGCATTAAGCATTAAGAGAACAGCAGACGAGCCAGCAGAGCAGACGGCCCTAGCAGGGAGGCTGTCGGCCGGCAGGGCG